TATTAGGTATGTTCATTGCCTTGAGTTATTTATAAAAATAATAAAGGTGGGATAAAAAAAAATAAAATCTAAAATCTAAATTGTTCATGAAAATGAGAGTGAAGTGGCTTTGAATTATCTTCATTTTATTGTTTTTTGGGTGTGGGGGATTGGTTTTATCAAACATCTAAAAAATGACACACAAAAACACGACTTACCAAAGCAAAGTAGCTTACACGGACAATTCACTATGGAACTCCCACTGCTAATTAGCTCTGCTGCGCCAGGCATACTGTTGGGTAAATGGTGACGGGCTGCGGAGTTGTATCTGCAGCAGAAATGGCAGCTGGTCAGACAGAAGCTGACTGCAGGTTGCTTGGCCATCCCTGATGCAGCCTAGTCTCTGGGGGCAAATGCATTCAGAGAATACAGTTCATCAGTAAATATGATATGCTCATTGACTTCAAGAAACTAAAGGGGAAAAACATGTCAAAGGAATTGCTAGAGTCTAATTTCTGATGATTGTAAGGTAGAGGTCATGATACAAATAGGGGAAAGAGGTGTGGGAAGGGCGATGGGATTGACGAGGCTACTGAAAAGGACCATGTTTCTGGTTCCAGAAACATCTGTTTGTATATATTATAACAAGATAACTACCACCACACAGAATTGAGCAGATGGTTAATAATATATTCCACCTGAAGAAGTGGCAGGATATAAATCAAACGAGCAAATGTAGACTGTACAACTTTTAAAGGAAGCATAACAAAAATTAACAAGCACATCTTCTCAAAATCTGACTTGGAATAATCTTTATCTAAGAAAACAAGATAATTTTCCCTGATCTAGCAAAGTAAAATAGTTTAGAACTCATCTATGCATCCCCTCCTAATCTAATTTATCAATGAATTCTAGATTATCATTTTACTTAATATTCCCTAAAGTTACACTACCCACTTCTTCTTTTATTTTTTGCAATAATAAGGTAGGAGATTATTTTAAAAGAGAACCAGTCCAATACCTTGTCCTAACTTTACGGCAATAACCTTGAGGTGAGGAGGATACCCCAACATCTTGTAAATGTGCCCATTGTGCTTCCCTAAGTAAAACCATAATTCAGTAGAGGCATACATTTTGCAAGCCAAATGTTTTGTGTTCTGTTTTGGACATTTCCAGGTGCAGCTGGAAGAAATCCTGCCTGAAACCCTCAACGTGCCTGACCTGAATGGATAGTGGTCTGACTTGGAAAAGGGCAGTTTCCTGTGTCCTATCAAGTTCAATTTGTTTTTATTTTTGGTAACAAAAGGGCTATTTACCATGTGTATATTTACAGTATGAGAGCCTGTTTGGTCTAATGGTTAAGGCACCAAGCTAGAAACCAGGAGACTCTGAGTTCTAGTCTTGCCTTAGGCATGAAAGCCGGATGGGTGACTTTGGGCCAGTCACACTCTCTCAGCCCTAGGAAGGAGGCAAGGGCAAACCACTTCTGAAAAACCTTGCCGAGAAAAATGCAGAGACTTGTCCAGGCAGTTGCCAGGAGTCAACACTGACTCAAAGTCACAAAAAAAAAAAAAAAAAAAAAAAAAAATTACAGTCTAAACTCTAATTGACCCAACAAGTATAGGTAAAGTATTTGAAGTTGGGCAAGCAAAGTATCCAAGTAAAATTGAAATTGAGGCTAGAAAAAAAGATGGCAATCTTTTACCATCTATGTGTAATCCATTGGTGCTCTCAACAAGAGCCCAGTATCAAATGGTGTTACAAAACTAAGGGGTGAGAGACTCTCCAGACACATGGGAAGTGCATGGCATGATTTAAAAAGTCAGAGTTTGACTAAGGGACACTTCTCTTAGAGATCCATTTAAGAGACCAGTTTTCCTCCTAGATCCAATTGTTCATAGTCAGAGGGATCCCACCCTACTGAGAAAGCCTAACTCTTAACCTGACTGGGGGGGAGGGGGCGGGCTTTATATCCCTTTTCCTCCCAACTGCTTCTTTTCAATTGCTCTTCTTTCAGGTCACACTGCCTGGCCAAGGCTGAAGTCTTTATGGAAAAGCTCAGACACAATGCTATTCAACATTTGGTGAGGTCCCCATCAATGGAGTTGGTTGTCTGGCTGAAGACCTGGAAAGTTGACTCCATATCTAAGATTCTATGGCCATCCTCTTCCTTCAGGGATGGGCAGTGACAAATTTGAAATATAAATAAAGAAATAAATTAAAGAAATTCTTAAGTGACCATCTAGTGCAGGCCAAAAAAACCCCCAGTTTTCCTCCCACACCTTCAGAAATAAGACTTCCAGGCACAGCTCAGTTCCTAATGACTAGGCAAACAAGTGCCTACCATCTCAACCTATTCCCAATAATACATAGTTCTTTCATAATTTATCCTGAAATTTGTTTGAGCCAGTTGATCCATTCTCTTCTCCTCCTCCTACTTTCTCTATCTTGCCAAGCATACAGTAGTCATCTTTTCTATCCACCACCAGCTTCCATCACTTGTCTGAAGTATATGAAGGTCTGGGTTCCTGATCATGGCCTCAAAGGAGCAGTCAGCATTTTTTAAAAACTGTGACTGATTTAGCCAGTTCTTTATGCAGTCTACCTTCTTTCTCTCACTCTTTCTCAATCTCCAGCTTTCTCTCCCTCTCAAGATCCAACTAGAAAAAGCATTGTTTTAACTATTCTGATCTTTGTTGTCATAGGAATATCCTTATCCTCCCTGATATAAGCCTGTAACTGCTTTCCTCCCTAGAATTAATCTCTTTCTTACTTCCCCAGAACACTGCCCATTTTTATCAGTTCTTCCGTCATTGCCCCCCCCCCCGCCCGCCACGCCCCAACGAATCTACTATCTTTGTCTACTTTGCTGTCAACTGAAAGTTCAGGAAGCACGTTTCTTGATGTCGTATTTGCCTTCTTAATATTTAGCAATAACCCAGATCTTTCACTTTCCATTTTTGGTTTCATAATGAACTCTGCTAAGGCTTCTTTACTTCTAGGGAATAAAGTTGTGTTGTCTGCATATCTCAAATTGGAAATCTTTCAGCCTCCTACTTGGATCCCAGTTGTCTTTCAGTCCTGGTGCTCATATTCACTCTATAGAGGCAGGGAAAGTATGCATTCTTGCCTTCCTCTCTTCCTATATGCATATCTTGAAATGCTGGCAAGGAAGAGTCTTAGATCATGTCAGCCTATTGCCCATCTAGGCCAATGGCCCCTCTGTTTCTCCAAACTCAGTTCTTACAGTAGGCTCTTGTTCATTGTCAAGCTTCTTCTGAAGTTTAATCAGATGGCCTGACACATCCATTAATCTTCATACATTCCTCATTCTGGCATGAGCCTACAGATCAAAAGCCTTGCCAGGAGTCAGTAAAGCAAAGATAAAGTTCATTCTTAGATTATCTTGCTGTCCCCATTATCTATTTTAATGTGTCCTTCTGCCTTTTCTGAAAATTGCCTGTTTATTTGACTTTTCTTTCTCCATTGTGTGGCTTTATTTGTCTTTGTAAGACTTTAAATAAAGCTTTAGGGCAATGTCCAGTAATTTGCATGTTCTTTTGCATCTCCTTTTTTTGGTTAAATGGACATTGAACTTTTCCAAACTTTAGGCCACATCAGCAGAGGTGTTAGCCCTTTAAGGGACTCTTTTTCTTCAGCCTTCAATTATGGGAAGTTCATCTACTTGGTGCTTTCCTGTAGGACATCTTGTCCATCATCTCTCTCACCTGACTTTCTATAGAATTGGTTCCTGGATATATTCCCTTTCTGCAAATATGTCTGTAATCTTATTTGTAAAGAGTTAGAATATCTTCCTTCCATTTTCCTTTAACCTCATTTACTTTATTCAGTCTTGTCCATGATTATTTTTGAGTTTTCCTACATTAGCTGTCAATTTTATTATGATTTCTCTGATCTCCAAAAAACATGTTTTAGTTTCCTTTTCTTGTTATTTTTTCTATTTGTTGACGTTGATTATCTTTCTTTGCCTTGGTTTGCATTGGAAGCCTTTGTTCACTAGTTCCACTTCCACTTTTCATCTTCCCTTGGCTATCATGACAGCTTTGTTTGAAAATCACTTGGACCTTCTCCTGTTTGAAATCTTGGGATTTTTTTTCTGCTTATCTTTGTGTTGGTTCTTACCTTTTTCCATAGCTTCTCAGGTTCTCTTATGCAAAAGTTAAGTATGCTGAATCTATACCGAGCCTGACATCCTCAACTGCAAAAAAAAATATAGGTAAAAATGATCAGAAAGAACTTCCTTGGTCTGTAATCCCAAAGAGTTGCTGCTCACTGGGGAAAAAATGCTATT